GGTATCGGCCAAAATTTTCATATCGGTGCATCCCTAATCTGAACATAAATAACAACACACACAGCTGTGAGTAAATCAGGTTCAATTGTACCTGGCACTTCAGGAAGCTTCAGCAGCTCAACGCTGAACTCGTCCTTAAACGCTTCGTCGAGCACATGACCCAGAAGAGCCGCACAGGAGCGCCAGTAAGCCTGAAGCACACATAAATTCATTGTCTCAACGATAACACACAGCATCAGAAATGTTTTATATTAAGCAGTGCAAACACACACTGACCTGGTTGGCTATCTGAGGGTCATCATCTTTGAAGGTGAGAAGGGTGAGGTCACAGGAGTGGATCAAAGGTTGGTGCATGTGCCACGGCTGTCCGTCCACCAGAGCCAGAGCTGAGCTCTTCACATGCCACTCTGTCAGATCTGACGGACAAGACAAACATCAGAAACTTAAAACAATTTTACTGTGTGATGGGACGCTTGAATCTGTATGTATAGTGTAAGAGCATTAATTGTCTGATATTTCTTATTGGTTATTTATGGTCACGTGGGCACAGGTGATCACTTCCGTTTTCTTTATTATTTCCTTTGTCGGATTGTTTGGCAGGTTGGAAGGGGCGAGGAGCGGGAGCCAACTATCGGTTGACCGTATTGCACTGGTCTAATGTTTCATGTGCTTTAATAAAACGCAAAAGCAAGGTAAGATCGTCAGTCTTTCTTTGATGAGATAACCAAATGCGAACGAGTCACAAGCCCACTACCTAGCCTCTATGTGGCGATTGGATGCCGCTAATATATAGTTTATTTGAGACACGCAGGAAGTGAACACTCAAAACAATAATTCAAGAGATTTAATTCATATTGCACATAAATATGATGCCAAAATGTGTATTCTGTGTCCCAAAACACTCATTATTGGACTATGTAGTCAATGCCATGTGAGGTTTTAGTTTTGTAAAAATACGTATTTTCACGTATTTTTTGTTGTTCAGATGCAAACAAATACACAGATCTGATTCAGATTCACCAAAAATTCTGCATGTTTCTGTCTGTCTAAACAATCGCAATGCATGGTACAGCCGCTGTACACAAGTACGCATTAGCAGCACATTCCAGACAACAGCTTCTCACCGGAGCATGCAGTTGTGGAGCTTACTATTATATATAGCATATTAGACACATTGGCCTGGGGAACTGTTGTGTGCAAGTTTAAGTTTCAAGTATAATGACTGTAACCCACAGGACAATAGCAGCAACACAAGTCATACAGGAGCACTGCCGCTGTAAACACCACCAAGATTTTGGTACATAGTTGGGGCCAAGACGCACTGATTGTGGGAACAATCTGGCTGCCACAACAGAGTGGCGCCAGCACCGTCATCTTCATGACTAGTGGAACCCCACAGCCCAGAAAAAAGGGGGGGTCGGGCTTTTCAGCCATCCCGGCTTAGTGCACAAGCAGTGACATGAATCATATAGCAGCGACAACTCAAGAAGCAAGTGAAACTGGCCAACCTTGAGCAAGCAGTCTTGAACAGAAAGGACTTGAAAAGCCATTTTTTATGAAATATGGCAATTTTGTTCTGCAAAAGCCATTCAGCCACTTAACAAACATCCTGAATAGATATCCCTTTAGACCATGCCCATGACGAGGCATGCCTCTCGTAGAGGCCCGTTTTATTTTTTACATTCTGTGATTAATAAGCCAGAGCTACCACATCCACAATCCAGTGGGATAGCCTCTGTTTTCGATAAAGGCATTCCCTTGGTGCGGCCGCCATAACATACAAAAAGCTGTTCAGTAGGGCTACTATCAAGATATACCTTGACTTCAATACCAGTTACTAAACGATACTTATTTTATACCAATTTTTCTTTTTTATATACAAAAAAAATCATTATATTACCTCAAATTGAAGTTAAATGAGATTTATAGTTTTCAGTTTCCACATCTTGTAGGCTACATTTACACTAGTGTTTTTTCGTTTTAAAATGCATAGCTTAGACAGAAACATCATTTCTATTCATCTTCCAATAATTTACTGATGAGCTGCTGCCAGCCTGTGTTTTCTCTTCCGTGATCACTGTTCTGACTCAGAGGAAGCTCATTCGCTGCTTACATGTCAATTATATTATGCGAGGGGGTCTGACCTCATCAGAATTAGCCATTCAGGTTAGCGATTTATGAACGCCACCACTGCCATGTTGTCCAAGCGAACGAGAACATGCTTGTGACAGACCTAGGTGTAGAAACACTTAAGAGACAGGTGAACTGCTCTGAGCACCAGGCAGTTCCAGGTAGGTCATTTTCTCACTGAGAAAATCATACCTTTTCTCAGTTTCTGTCCAGGCACGGAATGCCAGGTAACCATCGCACAAGGCTGCCATCGTAAAAGGCTACGGTTCTCCAGAAGGCCAACACTTCTAGGCATTTTCAAGTCACCAAGATGCTTGTTGAGCTTGAGCGTGGAATGCAAGCTTTCAACCATAGTTGAAGTGGTTGCATGTGAAGCAGTCCCAACCTGCCAGATATTGTTACAGTGCTCGTAATGCTGGGGTATTTTTGGAACTTGCACGCCAGTCAGCATTACACCGTTGAAACGGGGCAATCTTTGTCTATTATATGGAGCTCGTCTCTTAAGGCAAGGGGCAAGAGAAAAGAATTCGGATTCCTGTATTCTCTCTTCCAGCTTGTTGCACCGCACAGTGGGTCAATCATAGCACAAAGACAACCAGTGAAACCCATAGAAGAGTAAGATAGCAGGTAGACTTTATTGTTGATCTGACTATAACGCTATGCGGCACATTCCTCGTGCCGAAAACATATGGCATTTCGGCCACAAGCTCTCTGGTTTAGCAGCTGGCTCAGGCTCTATGCAAGAGTCTGAAGCTGGGCTAGACAACAGCGCTATGCAGAGGAAGATCACTGAAAACAGCGGCACAGCCAGTGTAATATAAAAGGGATATGAGTGCTAGCAACACCACACAACTATATGAAAAACAGTGGCACAACCACTTTACTATCAAAAGGCGACGCACGGTGGTAGTTCCAGCATGTATAGCAGTTAGTGTAGGCAATAATACACACCTAAGTGTGGAACAGCGGCACAAGTCGGCAGCATTGGTTAGTGTAGGCAACACGAGTGTAGGTGCTCATCATAGAAGGGCAACAAGCAGCTGTAACGTCGGCCAATATAGCGGTCAGTGTAAGCAACTGTATGAAGATAGTGGCACAGCCGGCGCTCATCACAGAAAGGCAACGCATGGCAGCAGCGCCAGCATATAGCGGTCAGAGTAAGCAACACTACACATCTGTATGAAAGACAATGGCACAGCCAGTGCTTATCATAGAAGAGTAACACGCTGTGGCCGGCAAATATAGCAGTCAGTGTAGCAACACTACCTACCTGAAAGACAAAGAAGGGCACCGCATGATGGCAGCGCCTGCTTGTCAGTGAAGCAACACTATAAATCTGCATGAAAGACAGCAGCACAGCCAGTGCTTATCATATAAAGCAACGCACGGCATCAGCGCTGGCATATATAGTGATTAGTGTAAGCAACACAACATAACTGTAAGAAAGACAGCAGCACAGCCAGTTAATATCATAAAGGTACACGCATGGTGGCAGCGCCGGCATGTATATAGTGGTTATTGTAAGCAACACTTACACATCTGTATGAAAGACAGCAGCACAGCCAGTGTTTATCAAAGAAGGGCAGCGCACAGCGGCAGCACCGTCGTACATAGCGTTCAGTGTAAACAACACTGCTTTGTACACAACAGCTTGCCACTGGGTCGGTGGTTGTTTATATGATTTAGTAAGTGGCTGAAATAATTTGTGCACTGGCTGGCAAAATGCTGCACTGAGGCGGGGCATTGTTATGTATCGTGTGAGTGAAGCGCCTTGGCTGTATATTTTGTGCTTTGTACAATACAGAACGCCACTGAGAAGGGGCTGTTTATATCGTAAGCACGTTCAGAGCGCAGTGGGTCAGCGGGAACTGTGCCAGCATATGAGCCTTTTGCTGCAAACCTCACGTTCTGCAAACCATCCTGATGGGTCCCATGCAGATCAAGCAAACATAAATTATATTTTCAATCCATTCTCCACCGGAACAAGTAAGGGGATCAGCAAAGTGTATTCCATAATCCTCTTTTGGCGATGAATCAACGGCAAAGACTTAAGTATTTATCATGAAGGAGAAAGGTTCTGATGAAATGCTGCTCAGCGCTGCTTATATAGGGTGCTTTACCGTCCCCTTTTTTGCCATTGGCCATTGCAATGCAATGGCGTTAAGCGAATAAGGCTTCAGTATTTGAGGAGAAATGTTTCCCCAAAGCGTCAGCTTATGCTGTACATCAAGAGACCCTCTCGAAAGGGAACAAATTGCAGTAAAGGTAAAAAAAATTAAAAAATTAAAAAATTCCCCCAAACCAGCCTGTTTGTGTTTTGCACTGCTAAAATCACTGGAAACATTGCACATTCAAGACTAAAAAAATTAAAAAATTCCCCCAAACCAGCCTGTTTGTGATTATGATAATACATTAAAACAATAAGATAGCAAACACCAGTTTGCAACAAGCAGCATACCAAAGTGTTTTGCACTGCTAAAATCACTGGAAACATTGCACATTCAAGACTGATTTTACATAAAAACAATTTTTTATTTTTTTGATAGTCCACTTTCTACTAACTTTGCAATTACATGTCAACTAGCAGTCATTAACAGTATTAGTAGGCTGTCTGCTTAAAATCTGCTAACACTTTATTTAGTACATTCTACTAACTATAACTTTGCTAGTATATACCAAATTAATGTATTAACCTTAACCTAACAGTCTACTTATACTCTGAGATTTATTTGACATGTAGTTATAAATAAAAGAGTTAACTGACATGTAATTGCAACTTTACTTATAATTAGTACAGTGTCTAAAGTCTAAAGACTATTTAAATAAATAATTTTACCAAAATATAACATTTATACTATATGACGAAATGGTTAGAAATTAGCTATCCATAAATTTTTTGAGTATTATTATGATTGTGCAAAATGACAAATTACATTGACTTTATAAGGAATATATGAAGCAGATTTTTTTTTACTTTCTTTTAGTTTTCTATTCTAGTTTTCAGCCAAAATGTTCATTTTCATTCCTTGAATCATTTCTATTCTCTTTCAAAAACTCCCCAGGCATGTTATTCAAGGACCAAAATGAGCATCTCATCACAGCGTAAAACTGAATTATGTACTGGTTTTACTGTCCTTAAAACTTGCTTCCATAATCCATAATAATGCTTCCTCCAGTGGAGAAGTCCATCCCCTGTTGACCTTACACATCAAAATCATATTTGTTTTGAACTGTTTGGGCTTGTAAACGATGCTTGATCTGTGCATATGTCTCTCCTGATTCAGATCAGATGACTTTTTCACTGGAGAAAGCAATATTATGGATTAGCATATTAATTAGCAGCATTTTTAAGCTAAAAACATCTTGATGGATTTGTTTCTTACAAACACAAAGCAGTTTTTTCTTCACAAGAATTTAGTTGATGAACTATCGTTATTGTGATGTTTTAATCAGCTGTTTTGACTCTCATTCTGACAGCACCCATTCACTGCAGAGGATTTAATTTAATGCTAAATTTCTCCAAATCTGTTACCATAAAGAAACAAACTCATCTACATCATGGTTGCGGCCTTTGGGTGAGTACATTTCCAGTTAATTTTCATTTTTAGGTAAATTATTAATTGAACAGAAGACGCTCACAGTATCGTTAAGACACTCACGGCGTGTGCAGCTGTACGGCGTCGACAGGCCTCTGTTCATGACCAGCAGGGTCCCCTGTAGGCCGGGACCCTGTAGCATCACCTCGATCTTCTCTGTCCGCGGATACAGAGATCTCTGACGTACCTGCTCTTTAGAGAACAGAGCACTGCGATGACTGCGCAGTTCTGCAGATGAGAGGCATGCAGCCGCTGCACTAGACGCTAGACCTGCAACACATTTACATTCATTCATTACGAAGATGCCATCAATGATGTCTATGCATTGGCTAGTGAAAATTACTGCTTATCACAATTATGTGTTAGTATTATATATATGCAATATTAAATTGGTATTCTATTATAATGTATTTTCAAATGTAATTTTCTCATTTTAATGTACTACAGCAAATCAGCATAACTACACTAAAATAAATACTATCTATCTACCTATATATATACAGTGCTGTGAAAAGGTTTTTGCCCCCCTCCTGTT